AGAGAGAGAGAGAGAGAGAGATCAGCAACGTGTCGCGCAACCAATGTGGGATAGCACTTACCTTGTAGACTAGATATCGCTTGCCGCTCGCCGGGTCTTCGAAGGGCTGTGGGTCTAACGTTCCACCAGACTCTCCCTTGTATGCCGCCAAAGTAAGAGTCAGCGCGAGAAATCACTGTTTGCTGTCGTTGGGCTGTATACACACCCTCGAGATGAGAGGACGGTCGGTGATCCAACGGTAGGGGCCCTTTGGATCGCGATCCGAGTAGGCGACACCGATGCACTGTTTCTTGTGAATTGCATCCTGGCACGACACATACATCAGATAGCCACCCCTTCCCTGTGGGGCCTCGATGACCTCGGGAGCCCAGAGAAAGCCTGGAGTGCCGGACTGGTACGAGGGCAGCGGGCCGGGGAGACAGTCGTGCTCATGGTGCTCCCAGCAGCAAAAGTCCTTGGTGTAGGAGCATTGAATGTTCTTGCCGTTGCCGTTGGTGCCGAATGCGTACCAGGTCTGCGAGGCGCGGTCGAAGAACACGCCAGGATCGGCAAAGTCGTGCCCGATCACTGCAGATCAGACGTACACGGGGTGTGGCAGTGAGTCTCAGGCGGCGCTTAGAGGCACTGGGCTTGCGAGCTTACCTGGATTGATGTAGCCCAGATGAGGATGTGCTGGCATGTCTGTCAAGCTTTGTACGACGATCTGTGCAAGCAGGATGGGGATGGGGATGGTGGCAGGTGTGCAAGCAAGTGAATAGGATCTCATTGCATTGCGAGTACAGCTCGGCACTCACATCGGCTGCACGGGAGGCTGTGTTGGCCGCGGCAGTATCTGAAGCATGAACTGCAGGCCGGCAACAATGACCTCAACGTGCCATGGCGTTCATGCCGAGCTTCGATGTGGAGGTTGCGATTCCACGACAAAAACAGCGCTCTAACATGATAGAGATTGTCATTCTAACCTAACAGCCGTGAACTTTTGCGAATGACAGCTCCTTATGTAACTCGCTTTTATTTCCGGGGGCGACACGAGCGTGAAAGAGGCGGGCAGCAGACGGCACTCTCATCCCAGCCGGCAAACGCGGTGATGGGCCGTACGCTCGAGCTTGCCGTTGCCGGTCGCTTTCACACATGGGCCTGTGCCTTTGTCGTGCATACAGACGAGCATCGACCTGGTTTGGCGCGCACTGATGACCGCCACAGCATGTATTGTAACAAGATTTTCCACGAGTGTATGCTAGCCCGAGCCCGTGTGAGTGAGTGCAGGGCTCTGAAGATGGTGCGGCATGCGGACCAAAAAAAAAAAAAAAAA